ATATATTTTGCAGAAAACTTAACTTGTTAAACAAAAGGAGTTTGAAGAGTTTACATTTGGACATTAATCCTCATCTAATCCATCTCCAATATATGACTAAGATCTGATAGGATTAACTTTAGCGATAAAATGTGATAATATATCTCCCTTTGACTTGTTAACATTTCGAGACAATTTTTAATATATTTAATTTTTTTAATATCTGATAAATAGTTAGATAACAGAAAAAATGTTGATGTCAACTCAATATAGGATAAACAAAAGTAAGAATTATGTTTTAAAAAAATTTGAGCTAAAAATTAGGGCTTCTCTCATGCATGAGATCCTTTCGCTGCTTAACTATCCTCCTGTATCCTTCTACCCTCTTCTCCACCTTTTCTTCTCTCTTTAACACTATAAATCCCTCAACTTCTTGGGCCTATCCACCTCCTGTTCTCCCGAAATCCTCACCTGGTTTTTCCTTCCCTGATACTCTCTACCTGCTCTGCTCTCTTGCGAGTAGTAGAGAATAGGGAGAAATGGTGAAGTTCTCGAGGGAATTGGAAGCGCAGCTCATTCCTGAGTGGAAGGACGCATTCGTCAACTACCGCGAGCTCAAGAAGCTTGTCAAGAAGATTAAGATTTCCCTCCATTCACGATCGGACTCCGACGCTGCTGACCCCAGCAACAAAGACATACCCGATTTCGGAATTTCAATCTTCGATAGTTTTCGTGCGCTCGCTGCCGGACTATTCTCCGCATCTTCACGCAGCCATGGCGAATTACCCGTCCCGGTATACCCATTCCCACCATTCCTAAATGATTTTCCCCCTTCAATTTCTCGACCATCATTAGGCCTTCCATTTAAATAATTGGAAACAGAGAAATATCTAGCTCTGGTTTTCTACCGTTTTCCCCTCGCCCTTTTCACCATTTCACTACCCACCACATAAGACGTGACCGCGAAATCTCTCTCATTCCAAATAATCATTACGGTTTATTTCATTCAGGTTGACGAAGATAGCGCGGAGGAAGAGGTACCAGTTCAATCCAGGGAGGAGGAGGTAATTAACTGATAAATCGCTAATCAATCCCGTCCTCTTGAAAAATTTAAGTCTATGGCCTAATTTATAAGTCGAATTTGTGTACAAACAAAAGGAAATCAGTTTTTTCAATAAACTGGAAATAGAGCTTGAAAAAGTGAACAAATTCTACGAGGCCAAGGAAAGAGAGTTCTGCGAGCGCGGGGAAGCCCTAAACAAACAGCTTCAGATCCTTGTTGATTTGAAGAAAATCCTCGACGAGCATCACCGTCGCCGTCAACAGCGGCGATGCTCATCTCCCAATCACGGCGTCTTTCTTGATCTACTGAACTCAACGTCATCATTTTCCGGTAACAAGCCCTGTTTCCCTTTTCTTGTAAGAGACTTGTATGCACTGACATCAACTTCGTCGTCCCCGCAGATCGAACAAGCGAGATATCGGATAGCGCGACATCACCAGATATATCAGAAGAAGTGATCTCCGCACTGGAGAGAAACGGCATCAGCTTCGTTGGGTCCACTCGATCAAAGGCGAAGAAGGGAACAAAGCCGAAGGCTGCGACGATGAGGATTGACATCCCGGCGACGAATGCCACCAAAACCATTTCAGCCATAACGTCAATGGTGTGGGAGGATCTCGTGAATGGAGCTAGAAAGGAAGGCGACTTCGGAGGCGGCGGCGGGGATTACATCAGCCGGAAGAAGATACAGTGCGCGGAGAAGATGATCCGCGGCGCTTTCGTTGAGCTGTACAGAGGTCTGGGACTGCTAAAGACCTATAGGTAAGCTGGCTGAAACGAATTATTTGCTCCATTAGGTTTCCTGCCTCTTTTGGTTGTTGGTGTCACGTGGGTATGATGATCCTTTGGACAGTCGCACCCGCACTTAGAGAACGACATGGCTGTTACATGATTTTTATTTGTTATTTTTTTCTTTTTTCCTAAAGGGGCTTTTTTTTGTTTTTTTTTTTTTTTCTTTCAGCTCACTCAATTTGATTGCCTTCACGAAGATATTGAAGAAATATGACAAGGTAAAAAATTACGATTCTCTCCAGTACAAGTGCCGTTAGAGTATGTTTCAACCCAATTTATGTAATTTTGTATAAATCAGAAATTATGTCGAAATCAAAAGAGATTTAATTAAAATAAATTGAGATTTCCTACAAAAAAAAATATAATGTTTACATATAAAATATAATGGAATTTTTAGTAGGAGGCATAATGATTATTATTATTATTATTATTTTAATAATAATCATCATTATCTTTTAATTTTTATTAACTATTCTTTAAATTAAAATTAGTATTTTAAAAATTTGAGCGGTTCTTCACAAATGATTATTATTTTCATTGGCGATAAATATTTTTTTCTGAATGCAACCGTCGCGCTGTAGCATACTGTTCGACCCTCATGCAGTTATTTGGAAAAACATTTTTTTTTTTTTGTAGCATACTGTTCGCCCTCATGCAGTTATTTGGAAAAACAATTTTTTTTTTCAAAATAGTTGTCGCTTGTCCGCAAGATGTATGAAATGATCAAAACAAAAGAAAACGGATTATAATACTTATTTATATAAGAAATCGTTGGAAAATAATGCGTACTTTTAACACTCTTCCTATGTCTTTCTATATATTTATTTTTAATCACACATAACAGCATGCTGCTTTTGAAGAATCATGTAACGGGAACAGCCAAAATTATTAATTAGATTAGACTTTGATTGATAAAGCCAAGGATACACATAAAAAATTAAGAGAAAAAAAAATTGAAGTGTTCGAAAAAACTGGAAAGATAACAAAGCTGGAAGTTGAAGCATTGAGGAAGAAGTAGAGCATAAGAAAAAGAGCGGTGAAATTTTAATTTTAGGGATTACGAGTATTTAAATCTAAAGAATTTTAAAAAAATTTAAATTATTTTGTTCTTATTATAAAATTAAAAATATAATTAATGTAAAATTTTTTATAAGTGTTTACATTTAAGTAGAAGGAAAAATTTTCAGTTTATTATGTGATATTAAGGAATTAAATAAAAATTTAAGAGTGAAGAACGCCGACCCCAACCATCAAAAACCAACCACTCGAGCAGCTTAATGTTTTTTTTTTTTAAGTTCAGCACATTAAAGAAACATATTAAAAGAAGAAAAAAATTGATAAAACATGCATAATCTTGTTTTTCTCTATCGTTTACTCTATAATTTCCCTATTAAATAAATAATGTTATAATTTTGAAATAGAAAAAAGAAATTTACTTCGAAATTTCTCTCCAAAAATAGTCGGATATCTTATTAGTTAATCCTCGCTTATTATTATTATTTTTCCTTGATGAGATCAGATTAAATGGGATGCATGGCATTTTGTTCCATAGAACATATTAAGTTAGCAAATTCCAGAGAAGATAATATATTCTCTTGAGATCGAATAGATATTTTAGCGCATTATGTGCAAAGACAAGCATAGCTTAACCTTGTAAACATTACTTAAATTCGAAACAAAAGCAACAAACAAATTTCTACGCTATTCCCACGTAGTTTAAAAAGTTAATTCATTGTCGAACTTTATCAATTATTTGTATGCTTGTATGCTTATTCTTTACCGTGGAATTTACTTGAACAAATTAATTGTTTAATAATATGAACACGAGCCGTTGAACATTTGAAGGATACGCTTATCCTGTTATTAATCGGTAGAAATACTTTATAAAAAAGGACTAGCAATGTCAAATAGCTGTAGCCCAAAAATACGGTTGTACAAAAATTGCGGAAGCTATGCGTTCTAAATTTGAGATATATATTGATACCAACCAGCTAGCTAGCAGTTCGTCACATGACTCTCATGACATGCTATTTCCATTCGTAACCGAATGAAAGCAACATAAATTGAAAAGATTTCTGTGTTAACAATCCTAACGTCGTCGGGCTACTTGGCTGATCCACCAAGCTTCCGTTAAACATATACATAACAGAAGTACGTATAAGTGCAAAATTAATTAAGTATGGAATTGATTATTCCCAAAAAAAATAAGAGAAATTGACAATTAGTAATAAGCAGATTTCAATCTTGTGGTTAGTTTAATTTACTTACATAATAATTATTATTATTTTATAGCATGTGATCCCATTTAATAGTGGCGCATTTACTATACATTGAAAAATATTTAAGGAAAAGATATAGCGCATAATTGAATTCTAAAAGATGCTTTCAAAATGGCACGACAGGCACAAAAAAATAAAAAATAAATAAAAATAAATACCTCAGATATTCTCCATAATGAAGTGGAATCATTTTGTGAATGTTAAATTTAAAAGCATTTGGACAGAAAAAAATATTGATAGTTTTAATGGACAAGAATTGACATTGAATAAGTAGGATATAATGCATATGCTGATGCTTGTGTATAATATACAGGTATCGAAAAATCTGGAATCGAGCTGCTACTTAAAGAAGGTGAAGCGATCGCACTTCGTAAACTCTGACAAGGTAAGTGGCGGGCTTCTTTATTTCATTTTTCGCTTTACTTGCGCGATTATGCCCATCCTCATCATTTCTCTAGAATTAACTTTTTTGCTTGCCTTCCCGCACGCTTATAGGCACTAACGCAGAACGATTAATCTCAAATTGGGTCTGCAAATATTTCAAGAAATTTTATATCTAATGCTTAATTCATAGTTATCAACATATTAACAAATGCTATCATTACCTTGAAAATTATTAAGATCGTTGCGTGTAAGCTGCATAGTAATAAAGATCGAAGCTAGAAGAAGTTAAAACAATAATTTTGTTCTCATAGAAAATCAATCCTTACCGAACGTATTAAGGTTTTTCTATTTATTTACAAAAATATCTCGTGAATAATCATTTTTAACCAATGTAATTTTCAAGTATTAATCATTATATTAATATAGCGAGTAGAAAATTTTAAAAACTAAAATAGAAGAAAAGAGAAAAATAGCTCAAGTTGAGGGCCCGGCCGTCTCATTTTGATTTTAAATTTACTATCTAAATAGTAAAAGAACATATATAGGCAGTTAGAATTAATTTCAATTGTTATCCTATCTATCTAAATTTTCTTTTGACTACTGTCCTTTTTTTTTTCCTATTTTTGTATTTTATGTGCAACTTGCCAACGCTGGGAGTTTCACGAATTCGAGTTTCTCTACATAAATAATGAAACTTTGAGACTGATTTAGGAGAATAAATATAATATTACCGTGCAGGTGGTGAAGTTGGTGGACGATGTGGAATCTATTTTCGTCAAGTATTTTGCCAGCAATGACAGGAAAAAGGCAATGAAGTTCCTCCGGCCGAATCAGCCCAAGGAATCCCACGTGATCACCTTCTTCGTAGGTATATAATCTTTGCTTTATACAGCCGATGATTTCTCTCTGCCTGTTTTTTTTTATTTATTTATTATTTTTTTTTTCATACCGACGATTTCTCTTATGCAATACAACAAAGGAGTAATCTTATTTTTTTTACTATTTTTTGTTATAACATGATACTCGAATGATGAAAATATCATTAATTTCGATGTTATTTTGAAGAAAAATTAAATTTTAATGCTTACTAATATATTCTATATGACTAAAACATAGTCATTGGACTGTATTTCAAGAAAACATGCGAGCTTTTTCCTTTTTTCTTCCAAAACTGGGATTAATGAGTAGAAATAGCGGCATTGCTGGGAAAAAAATGGAGTTTCGATAGATATGATGAGATTCTATGCATATCCAGGCACATGCATCTCAGACGCATCAACAATTATATATCATAATATGATACAAAAAACAGGACAGTAATACTTAAGAAAACACCACTCTCTACTAATATATTTTTTTTAAAATAATATTTATGGTCGTCTGATGTGTTAGCCATCAGCATATTGTAGATGGAGGATGCAGCATGGTATTTCTCATCGCCAGTTCTGGGCACGAGCACAGCATAACAATTTTTACTGCTAATCTCATATATAACTATACATATTTATACATACATACATATATATATATATATATATATATATATA